CACGTTGTATGATTCCATTTACATGAAATATATAGAACAGGCAAATGCATGGAGTCGTGGTTGCCAGGGACTGGGGGAGGGGAAGAATGGGGAGTGACTGCTCTTGGGTACGGGGTTTCTTTCGGGGGTGATGGAAATGTTCCGGAATTAGTAATAATAGTTGCCCAGCTCTGTGAACATGCTAAAAACACTGAATTGTATACATTAAAAGGGTTAATTTTATAGTAATACTGTTTTTTTAAAAAATATTTATTTATTTGGCTGTGTAGGATCTTAGTTGCGGCATGTGGGATCTAGTTCCCTGACCAGGGATCAAACCCAGACCCCTGCATTGGGAGCGCGGAGTCTTAGCCACTGCGCCACCAGGGAAGTTATGTGAATTATATATCACTAAAGTTGTTAAAAATTAATGAAAGCAGTTTGTGAGAATCAATTGGCTATGTAAAATTTATGAGGAAAGGTATCGTATGTTTTATTATTATTTGTAAAGTGTGTGCTGCACATCCTTATATCAGTGAAGTTATAACCACATGCGTCCCCCAGCCATATTAAACATGGGCACACCACTGCCCAGGGGGCGGCTCCATCCACTGGTTCCTCAACGCTGTCCCCAGGCCTTCTCCCGTTCCTCTGTCCCTGCAGCCCCCATACCGCCACAGCCTCAGAGAATGGCTCTTCCTCTCCACCCCCTCAGAGTGGTCATGTCCCCCCAGAACAGGCCTGAAGGACCCTTCCTTGCATTCCCCTGGGACCTCCTCTAGCTTCTTAAGCTCCATTACTGATGTGTAAATTTGAGTGAATTTTAGGGCATATTCTACTTGTCACCAAATCTTTAACTCATTACTACATAGGTTCTTTTTAGTGATTGGACATTTTCTATCAATTTTTTTTTTTTGGCTGCATTGGGTCTTTGTTGCTGTGCGCAGGCTTTTCTCTAGTTGCGGTGAGCGGGGGCTAGTCTTTGTTGCGGTGCGCGGGCTTCTCATTGCGGTGGCTTCTCGTTGCGGAGCATGGGCTCTAGGCGTGCGGGCTTCAGTAGTTGTGGCTCGTGGGCTCGGTAGTTGTGGCTCACAGGCTCTAGAGCCCAGGCTCAGTAGTTGTGGCTCACGGGCTTAGTTGCTCCGCGGTACGTGGGATCTTCCCGGACCAGGGTCGAACCCGTGTCCCCTACATTGGCAGGTGGATTCTTAACCACTGCGCCACCAGGGAAGGCCTCTATCTGTCTTTTTTTCTCCCCAGTCAAATGCTGTATTCTGGGCTTCCCTGGTGGCGCAGTGGTTGAGAGTCCGCCTGCCGATGCAGGGGATACGGGTTCGTGCCCCGGTCTGGGAAGATCCCACATGCCGCGGAGCGGCTGGGCCCGTGAGCCATGGCCGCTGAACCTGCGCGTCCGGAGCCTGTGCTCCACAACGGGAGAGGCCACAACAGTGAGAGGCCTGCGTACCAAAAAAAAAAAAAAAAATGCTGTATTCTTTTACCTAATCTGTCAAGGGTCCTTAAAATTTTGAAATTTTTTTTAAAAGATACTTTTCTAGAAATGTTTTGAGAGTCTGAGGGAATCACATGTACTTTTCAACATTTCCTGCTCACTCACTTATTCTAGACGCAAAATAATTTTCTAAATAGTAAGCATTCCTTTTTTTAAAAAAAAATATTAATTTATTTTTGGCTGCGCTGGGTCTTTGTTGCGGCCCTAGGGCTCCTCTGGTTGTGGCGCTTAGTTGAGGTATGTGGGATCTTAGTTCCAGGGATTGAACCTGGGATCGAACCCAGGCCCCCTGCATTGGGAGCGTGGAGTCTTAACCACTGGACCACCAGGGAAGTCCCCAAATAGTAAGCATTCTAATGCTGAGCTGAACATGCCACAGATTTTTAATAAAATATTATAAATGCCAGTGTTGTCCTAAAGGCAGAGCTATAATGTGTTATAACTCAGAAACTCTGTGTTCTCAGGTGTAAGGAGAAGCTTTTTGCATGAGTGGATGTCCCTGCATATTTTGTAATATAACTTGACCTGCTGAACTCTGAGCGGTGATGGCAGAGCTGATGTAACCTCCTCAGGTGTTCTCTGTGGTCTGAACTATCCTCGCTAGGTGGCCACACCGAGCTTTGTAACCCACTTCCCGACCAAACCCGCTGCTATCCTTGTCATGTTTTAAATTCTTCCTATTTTTAGACTGCCTGGGAATTTAGAAGACTTAGGAAGGTCATAGCATCCAAGACAAGGAGAGGGCCGACGGGTAGTGCTGCATTTAGCAGTCTCCTTCGGTTAATGCCAAGTTCTTGGGATGCTTGGTGTAGGTTGGTGGTGCTTAGTGGCAGCCGTCAAAGCGAAAACTAACTGACTGTGTTTCCTGAAGAGTGACTTGGTTTCCTTTCTCAGTCTACACTTGGTTCTTTACTCTAATTGTCCAGGGTTGAGTCCAGGGACCAGAAGATGGTCAGACCCACACCAGGGAGAGGAACGCTGAGGATTGTACACCAAGCTGAGCTTCTGCTTGGCCTCTCCTTTCCTCCCATGGTGCTCCTGCCAAGTGAGCCATTGCAAAACACACAGCTGCACCTGGTTATCTGCATTAATTTGTGAAATGATTAGCTATTAAAGCTACGTTTTTCAAATGAAATTATAAGTAAGCTGCTTACTGATAGAAAAAGAGCTGCTTTATCTTAAACTTTGCAAACCCTGCATCTCTATTTTTAGTTCCTTGGAAGTTGCAGCTTATAATGGTGATAGTGAAGTACTGAAGTATCCTAAATGAAGGGCCTTCTAAATGCAGAAGAACTGTTAATTATGTTCAATATAGTAATTTTTTATCTTTGTAAGTTTTACCACTCTTTTAATTGACTTTATTGAGGTGTAATTTATATATAATGAGTGCACCCATTTCGAGTTTGATGAGTTGTGACAAATGTGTAAATCTGTGCAATCACCACCCCAATAAGATCCAGAACATCACTCCAATCCCCTCCACCCCTCACTCTAGGCTACCATTGATCTGATTACTCTTTCTAGAATGTCACATAAGTGGAATCACATAGAACGTCCTCTTTGGTGCCTGGCTCTTTCGCTCTGTGTGTTGTTTTGAGACCTGTCCGTGTTCCACCTGTCAGTGGCTCACTCTTCTGTGCTGCTGAGTAGTTCTCTGGTTGTTTCTGGAGGGAGGACTGGCGGGAGGCCCTCCGATGTTCCGGAGGTAGAAGTCGTGCTCAGTAGAGCTTTTGCTCTTTTAAAATCGGAGGACAGTTAATTTACAGTGTTGTGTTACCTTCGGGTGTACAGCAAAGTGATTTAGTTATACATTTTCCATTATAGGTAGAGCTTTCTTTTTTAAAAATAGGGTATAAGAGATTTCCAAACTGAATGTTATTTCCCCCCATGGATTGTGGTTACATTGATCTTTTAACAGACAAATGGATAGTCTTTTAATTACTCAGCTGATCTCTTTATTTTAATATCAGGTTTATTGAAGTCCAGTTCACATATAGTAAAATTCACTCCTGGCAGACATGTACGCCACAATTCAAGGTATCAATCACTTTCACCACCCCAGAAAATTCCTTTGTAGTCACCCCCTTCCTCTACCCCAGCACGTGTCTTTTCCAGGATGTCTTGGGAATAGAACCATCCAGTGTGCAGCCTCTTTGGTGTGGCCTCTTCAATCCGCATAGTGCCTTTGAGATTCATCTGTGTTACCTGTAGTCTCCTCTGTTGTCGAGTAGTGTCCGTCACATGTATATGCCGTGCTGTGTTTTTCTGTTCATCAGTGGAAGGGTATTTCGGCTAATTCCAGATTTTGGCAGTTATACATAAAGCCACTTTAAACAGTCATATCCAGGTTTTTGTGCGAACATGTGTACTCATGCATCTTGGATAAATAACCTGGGAAGGGGTTGCTGGGTTGTATGTTAGGTGTGTGTTTAATTTTATAATGGACTGCTGACTTTTTTCCCAAGTGGTTGTATCATTTTGCATTGCCATGAGCACTATTTAAGAACTCGATTGTTTTATGTCCTTGACAGCACTTGTTTTGGCAGATTTTTTTTTAGCCATATTAATAGGTGTGTAGTGATATCTCATTGTGGTTTTGATTTGCATTTCTCTAATGACTAATGATGTTGAGCTTTTTTTTTTTTTTTTTTTTGCGGTACACGGGCCTCTCACTGTTGTGGCCTCTCCCGTTGCGGAGCACAGGCTCCGGACGCGCAGGCTCAGCAGCCATGGCTCACGGGCCCAGCCGCTCCGCAGCATGTGGGATCTTCCCGGACCAGGACATGAACCTGCGTCCCCTGCATCGACAGACGGACCCCCAACCACTGCGCCACCAGGGAAGCCCGATGTTGAGCATTTTTTATGTGCTTTTATTTGTCATCTATATATCTTCTTCGGAAACTTTTATTTAAATATTTTGCCCATTTTTATATTGGGTTGTGTGTTTTCTTATTATGGAGTTTTGAAAAGTCTATATATAATCTAGAAACAAGTCCTTTTACAGATTTGCATGTATTTTCTCCCAGTCTGTGGCTTGTCTTTTCATTTTCTTAATAGTGTCTTTAGGAGAACAGAAGAGTTTAACTTTGGTGTAGTCCAGTTCATCTATTTCTTATTTTGTGGATTGTGCTTTTGGTGTTGTACGTAAGAAATCTTTGCCTAATCCAAGCTTGTAGAATTTTTAGTGTTTTAGAAGTTTTATAGTTTTAGATTTTACATTTTACGTCTTTGATCCATTTTGCGTTAATTTTTGTATATGATACTTCAAAGCACAGGTTGACATTCTTTTTTCGCCTTGTGATGTTGAATTATTCCAGCACCATTGTTGAACATGTTTGGTGTGGTATTAACGTGAATGCTATTTATTATAGTTCTTTTCATTTGGATATTCCCTGGCACATAGTCTTAAAAAAGAGGAAGCTGACAAGGGTCTTCAATAAATCTGGACTGTTCATTTTATAATACTAGAGATTCGTTAAGTTGTATAGTAACGCCATGCGTTTTGTTAAAGGTCTCAAGATTCTGCCCTCCAAGAAAATCTTGCCATGATTGGATAGGACCCCCAGATAAATATTCAAACCTTCGACCTGTTCACTTCTACATCCCTGAAAATGAATCACCATTGGAACAAAAGTTAAGAGAATTAAGACAAGAAACACAAGAATGGAACCAACAGTTCTGGGCAAACCAGAATTTGACTTTTCTTAAGGTAAGTTTAGGTTTCGGGTCAGAATGAGAAATAATACAGTTGGCCACTTGGGGGTGCTAAATCTTTAGCATCTGCTTTGCCTTTCAGTTATTTGGCAGCATCTCATTGCCTCCCCGCCATACATATGTATGTGTGTATATATGCATAGAATTTTAAAATCAGTATGTAACTATAAAGAAGAAATATTGATCATTCACAGAATCACAGATCTTGAGACGTTCAAGGAAGTAAAGAGAGTAGCAGAGCCAGAACCAGAACTGCAGGTTCCACATGTATATACGCTTGTGTGTGTGTGTATGTTTATGAAATTATGGGTGCCTGGGATGTGTTGTCATTCTTCCTGAGAATTCAGGATTCTTATTAGCATACTCATCAATAAACTATGAGAAAGGAGTATAAATATTCTAATCCAGAAGAAAGACTTAGGCGATGCATGTTTACCCATTTGGGCAGGCTAAGTCAAATGGAGTTGCATTTATCTTATTCTGTGGATTTATAAGCAAACAGTGCCTCCCAAAGGTTATTAAACATCTCATTTTCAAATCCTATTTCAAGCATGAAACTTTTAACTAAGTTCAGATGGTTTAAAACAGGCTTTGAGATGGGCCACTTCTCAGGAAATCCACATCCAGATTTCTCCAGAACACGAGAGCTGTGTCCTAGCCAAGGAAAAACGGAAAGATGAAGAAAGGGAATTCTGATAGCTGTCTTCTTTTAGGAAAAAGAAAAATTTATTGACTCAAGACTAAAAGCCAAAGGCCTGGAACTGAGAGCTGAATCAGGTGAGTTCTTTTTCTGCCAACACTGGTTTTGTTTGAGTAACTATACGAGAAGGTGTAAAGAAAGAGTATTAGGGCCTCCCTGGCCGTCCAGCGGTTAAGACCCACACTCCCACTGCATGGGGCGCAGGTTCCACCCCTGGTCAGGGAACTAGATCCCATGTGCCTCTCGGCACAGCCCCAAAAAAAGAAACGAAAAAGAAAGGATGTTGAATGAAGTAGAGAAGCTCAGGGGGCAGGCCATGGCTCCAGGGGCAGGCGCTGTGAGGCCACGTCCTCGGTGGGACGTGGCTCCAGGGGCAGGCGCTCTGAGGCCGTGTCCTCGGCGGGACGCACGTCTGTCCTCCTCCCGCTCCCTCTCCTGTCTTTGGGTGAGGTCAGCCCTCTCGTCATTTTGGGTCATTCTGATCGATGACCTCTTTCTGACCTTTGGACTTATATCCGAGGTCCCATGGCTTCAGCAGCCTCTGTCTCTTCTGCCCTGGCTTCTCTTCCCTGCTTCCTGATGGCAGTTCATGGTCCCACTGGCCATGAGCCGGAAACTGCAGAGTCATCCTGGAAGCCCCTCCCCACCCCTTCATCCTTCATCTCTCCACCAGATTTCCCTCTTAGGTGTTTCTCAGCACCTTTGCTACTCCCTGTCCTTTTTTTTTTTTTTTTTAATAAATTTATTTTTATTTATTTATTTTTGGCTGTGTTGGGTCTTTGTTGCTGTGCACAGGCTTCCTCTAGTTGTGGCTTGTGGGATTTAGAACGCAGGCTCAGTAGTTGTGGCGCATGGGCTTAGTTGCTTGGTGGCATGTGGGATCTTCCTGGCCCAGGGCTTGAACCCGTGTTCTCTGCATTGGCAGGCAGATTCTTAACCACTGCGCCACCAGGGCAGTCCCTACTCCCTGTTCTTTAAACATGGCTTTAATTCAGGCTCTTGTTAATTCTCTGCCTATTGCAGTATCTTCCTAATTGGTTCCCTGGCCCCCAATCTTTAAATCAGGGGTCATTAGACTTTCTGTAAAGGGCTAGATAGTAAATAGTTTAGTCTCTCTGGGCCATATGGGTCTCTCCTTCAACTGGTCAGCTCTGCTGTTGTTCTGTGAAAGCAGCCATAGAAAATACATAAATTAATGGGCGTGAACTTGTCCCAATAAAACTGTATTTACAAAATCAGCTGGTAGGCCAGATTTGGCCTACAGGCTGTAGTTTAGCAACTCATGCCTAAAAACCATTCTTTGCAGCGTAGCCAGTCTGTTCTACCCCAAATGCAGTTCTGACAGTTGCCACTCAGCTTAGGTTTTTAGATTTCCTGTGACGACAGAGTGACAGCCGTGCTCCTCCTTCTGGATTGGAGGCCTGCCCGGCCCCTGCCTGTTTTACTTGTTTTACCTGTTTTGTGTCTTGTTCCCCAGGCTGCGCGCTTCATGTGTCAGGGATGCAGACTGCATTCAGTTCCCTCTGCCTACCGTGCTGTCCTTTCTTTTGGATGGAGAATCTAGTGCTCAGAATAACCTTTAATCATTTTCTCTTGCTGTTGATGTTTGGCCTGAATAAGATTTTGTTCTGTTGGTTAAACAGGTGTCTACTGTCAGAACATTCTGATGGAAAATCTGAAATCGTTGACCCCCAAAGCCAGGTCTTTGTTGGGCTAAAGCACTGTGACTCTACCTGCTCGTGGTAGCCTTGCCTGGGCTCATTAGAATAGAGGTCTGGGGAGGATGGAGTTAGCCCCATGCTGGGCCCAGTCGTGTGCTGTCTGCTGCACGGGCCCCGCTGAGGGTCTGGGAGGGCAGGAGTGAGCAGGAAAAGGTGCTATGTCCTATCAGTTTTTGTTTGTTTTTTGGTTGTTTTTTGGGGGGGGGGGAGTAAATATTTTAATTTTTGTTTTATTTTTATGGTGACAGACAATTTTCAAGTTTATTTCCTTTTTTTTTTTTTTTATATACAAAGCTAAACCACAAACAGTTACAACCAAGACATTTTATCTCCCATTTACGCACTCCCATTGAATCCTCCTCCAATTGGCTGGCCGCTGAGCAGGCAAGTGTGGGGTGAGGGGAAGACTTTCTTAGGTAGCACCGTCCTTAGGCCGGGGGCCGGGGCATCGAGGCGAGGACAGGCTCTCATCCCGAAGCACAGAATGAGAGCCCTGACTTCAGGACTGTGCCCTTTGCACATATGTTCTGTTTTACTTCCCATGATGAACCAATGAGGTAGGTACTGTTACTTTTACCATTTTGTAGATGAGGATCCTGAGGGCAAGTTGTCTGACCAAAATCACAGAGTGAGTAAGTGGAGGGGCCTAGGTCCTGACCTGGAGAGTGGGTTGCCGGGGAGGCCCACAGGCCACTGTCTTCTGTGAGTATCATGGGTTCCTACTGATGGCGTTACTGAGTGTTCAAAGATGGGCCTTAATTAGATTTCAGATTAGTTTGGTAAGAAAACAGGAAAGAGTATCTTGAGGAAAGGACTCGTGAAGGGAGGTGCCCGCTCTGTCAGCTGTTTAAACAGTTACCAGGCTGCAGTGATGGAAAGGGGGGGGGGGGCGGGGACAGGTGTGTCACCCCCGTGGGCCAGAGCACGCATGTGTAATACCTGAGTGCAGGGGTCTCACAGAACCCAGGAAAGAGGAGTTTCATTTAATAAATGATGTTGGAGAAACTAATTATTTTAGGCCCAAAAGGATAAATTTAGATTCATGCTCCCTGTAATACAAATGTATTCCAAACGGATGAAAAAGTTAATTATTAAAAATCAGTTGTTTATGGAGTAAAAAGTTAAGTACATCGCTCCTAGTTGTAGAAAGTCTAACAATAAAAGTGACCCTCCATTATCTGGAGGAGTGATGATTCCCTGAGCTTGACAGTAAGGGTAGAAAGATTCAGGAACGTGAAAACTGACAATGTCTGGATTAGTCAGGACTCCCTTTGATCTGTCCTCCTGGAAAGGAGAGTTTGCTGAGGGGACACGAAGTGGCCCAGACCCAGGACCAGGGGAGAGCCGGGCCCAGGCATGGCCTGCACTCAGACGCCGGCACTAGAGGGAACCCAGGACATCCTCCCTCCTCTCGTTTCACCTCCTCTCTACCCCACTGCTTCAGCCTTCTCTTGCTGTAAACAGGCTTTTTCCACCTCTCAGTTTATACCTCCCAGGTCCAAGGAAGTAGCCAGACTGAGGCTCTGCCCAGGCGCGGTTCTGTTGAAGGAGTGAGGCTGCTCCACAGACAGTGCCCAGCAAACCCGAGGGCCAGGCAAAGGGGTCCACGTCCAGGAAACACATTAAACATGAACGGCAGGTGGCGGGAGACGTTTGTGGCAGAGATGAAGAGGCGTGTGGACTTTACGAAAAGCCTTAACAAATTTGTAGAAATAGCAAAACACCTGCAGAGGAATAATGTGACTACAAGAAAAAAACTCCTCAAACTAAATTTCACAGTGTGTATTAAAACAGCACCTAGGCCTTGTTTTATGCTTATTGAACTCAAGATGTTTTCCCAGCTCCTTTTCCAGAAGGATTTAGTTGCATGAAGGACGCATATGCCAAGAAGCGGGGAAATTATGACCACTGAATATCTAAGAATTCATCCTATAGGAAAACATGGGAAGACTTCACTCTGTGTTCCTTGCAGCATTGTCTTTCATTGCCAAACAGTGGAAAGTATCTAAATGTCCGGTCACTTCAGATTAGATAAGGCTGTGGTGGCCCACTGTGCACTGGATGTTCACTGGAATATTCTGCAGCAGTCTAGGAACATTATTGACTTAATTTCAAGTGCGAAAAGTAGAATGCCATGACGTCAACGCTGCCTGCCCCCAGATTAAATCTCGTGTAAGGCAGGCAGTGCTGTGGGAGGGTTCTTGCCTCTAGTTTCTTTTACTGCTGAAGTGTTTATGCAGCTGGAGTGGCGTGCCATCAGGATGGATTTACTTTAAGTCAGCTGGTATTTAAGAAGCACCCACTCGGTTTTCGGTAAATGTGTAATAGATTGTTCTGCCTATCGTTCTTAGTATTACTAAAGTTCAGTGTCACATTGCAGTGTTGACAGGCGTGGAACCTGAATTACTTAGCAAACATTTATGGTGCGTCTGCTTTACGCTGAGCGCCACCTGGTAATGTTTAGGCAGGACACCAAACTAGACCAGTAGCTGAAGGTGGCACCCCGACCTGTCCTTAGAACCCTGGGGCGCCTGCTGTTCTGCCAGCAGCGGTGACGAGTGTGCCTCTCTGTGCCAGGCCCGTCCCACCTGCCGCCCTGACCGCGACTCGGTTTGTCTCAGAGCAGCCTTATGAGGTGTGCTGTTGTGATCTGCGTCCTGGAGCCCGGAGAAACCACAGCCCGGCCACAGGGCCGGCGAGGGACGGAAGCGCGGCCCGTGGAACCGCTGCCTGCGGGGCCAGGAGGACACAGCCCACCTGCTCAGCTCCTCTCGTCAGTGTGAGAGGCAGGGGAGGCCGGCTGGAGGGTGCACACACGCCTCTCCCTGGAGGACCGGCGGAACCTGCTTGCAGCTTAGGAGACGCCGTGCTCTGGGGCCAGCATGCTGGCCCCGCTCCCTGAAGCGAGAGCTCTGTTTGTGGCGCCCTCATCGCGCTCCAGCCCTGCCTGCCCCTCTCCTCCCTCACTCTGTTCAGCCATGTCTCTGCCTCTCCACACCCTTCATTTGCTCTGCCCATGCTGCTCCCCTTCTCCGCCCTGTGGAATCCTAGCTGGCTGTCACCTTCCCTGGGAGCCTTCGGCTTCCCTCCCCGCCACAGGCAGCTGGTTGTCCCTCTCTTTCCCCGATCGGCATCCACCCCTTGATTGATTCCAGGTATTTATTGAACACCTGCCACATCCCAGGCTAGTCCTGGGGACCAGCTGGGGACGAGACAGAGCCACGGCCTCGCCTTTGTGGAGCAGACCTCCTTGCGTGGGCCGGGAGGGTGACCAGCAGACAAGCAGCTCGGTGAACGCACTCTGCACTCCCGGGGTGTCGACCGCGGGGGAGAAAGAAGCCGGGGGGAGGGGAGGAGCGGCGTTTTCGCAGAGTGGGGGCATCGGGGGAGGTTGGGAGAGGGTCTTGCAGATGGAGGTCTCGAGGGCCAGCAGGAGGCCGGGTCAGAGGAGTGAGGACACGTGGAATCGACTGCTCTTCACTCAGGCGCTGGGGGTCCAGGTGACTCGTGGGGCCCTGCTCAGGCTGGCTGGGAGGTGGCCCTTCTGTCTTCGTGGGGGACAGCCACGCTTGTACTGTGCGGTCTCGTTTGCCTTTGTGCTGTGTGCGTTCAGGGTTGGCCACTTTCCCTCCTGTTTCTGTAAAAATGTGCCCTGGGGTTGCCTTCCCAGCTCTGTCTCTGTCTCCCGAAACTCCTGGTGTGGTTGAAGTGTCAGCATCAGCTTTGCAGCCAGGAAACACGGCCTCTGTCTGGAGTCCTGGAGAGAGGGCTAACCCGGGGGAGCCAGAGCGCGGGCCCCTCTGGATGGGGGTGCTCTGCAAGTGCAGGGTGTCCTGAGGCTGGCCCCTGGCCTGCTGTACCGTCCTGAGTCACAGGGGCCCTACTGCCTGCTTGGCAGGCTGTGGTTCCTGTCCTGTGTGGCCTTTCAAGTCTCGTGAGAGTGTGGAGGGCAGGGGCATCCCTGAGGGTGGGCGTCACGTTTGGCATCTCCTACCACAGAGGCTACCAGGTCAGTCCGTGTGTGCCGCCAGTCCCCACCAGCACCTAGTGTGTTACCGGGTTCAGTGTGTGCACTGACGCGGAGTGGCATGGTTAGGCTGCTGTCTGCCCCGGGCTGCGTTCTACTTAGGAAGCACGTCGTTTCCCTTATGCTGATATACTGGTAGCTCACAGTCTCCACTCAGAAACTTCAGAAACCATTGGCCTGTGTGTGCTGAAACACATCCCACACCTATGTGTATATCAATTGTGAAGAAAACTAGTTACACTGTAACCATTAGGGTCCAATGGTAGAGGAAGGTATTTTTCCCCCTTAAGTCTCTTTTTCTTTACTGAGATATAATTCACGTACTGTAAAATTCACACTTTTTTTTTTTTTTGCGGTACGCGGGCCTCTCACTGTTGTGGCCTCTCCCGTTGCAGAGCACAGGCTCCGGACGCGCAGGCTCAGCGGCCATGGCTCACGGGCCCAGCCGCTCCGCGGCACGTGGGATCCTCCCAGACCAGGTCACGAACCCGTGTCCCCTGCATCGGCAGGTGGACTCTCAACCACTGCACCACCAGGGAAGCCCATTATTTATCATTTTTATATCTCCTTTGGAGAAATGTTTATTCAAATCCTTTAAAATCGGGTTATTTTAAAGGATTTAATTGGGTTTTTTCTCTTTTTATTGTTGAGTTGTAAGAGTTCTTTACATACTCTGGATATTAGACCGGTATTAGAAGGATGATTTGCAAATATTTTCTCCCATTCTATAGGTTGTCTTTTCACTTTTTCAGTAGTGCCCTTTGAAGCACAAAAAGTTTAAATTTTGATGAAATCTGGACTTCCCTCGTGATGCAGTGGTTAAGAATCTGCCTGCCAACCCAGAGGACATGGGTTCAATCCCTGGTCCGGGAAGATCTCACATGCCACGGAGCAACTAAGCCTGTGGGCCACAACTACTGAGCCCATGTGCCACAACTACTGAAGCCTGTGCGCCTAGAGCCTGTGCTCTGCAACAAGAGAAGCCAGTGCAATGAGAAGCCCACGCACCACAACAAAGAGTAGCCCCCTCTCGCCATAACTAGAGAAAGCCTGTGCGCAGCAGTGAAGACGCAACACAGCCAAAAATAAATAAATAAAATAAAATTTAAAAATAATTTTTTTTGGATGAATCCAATTTATCTATTCTTTTCTTTGTTTGCCTGTGCTTTAGGTGTCATATCTAAAATGCATTGCTTAATTCAAGGTGATGAAGATTTGCACGTGTTTTCTTCCAAGAATTGTATAGTTTTATCTCTTACATTTAGGTCTTTAGATTATTTTTGTTTATGGTGTGAGATGGGATTCAGCTTGGTTTTTTTTTACATGTAGATATCCAGTTGTCCTAAGCATCGTTTGTTGAAAAGACTATTTGTCCCCATTGAATTGTCTTGGTACCCTTGTCGAAAATCACTTGCCCATAAATGTTTGGGTTTAGCTTTGTTCTGTTGATCTGTAAGCCTGTTCTTCTGCTGGTATCACACTGTCTTGATTACTGTAGCTTTGTAGTAAGTTTTGAATATAAGAAGTGTGAATCCTCCAACTATGATTTCCTTTTCCAAGGTTGCTTTGGCTACTGGGTTTCCTTGCATTTTTATATAAATTTTAGGATCCACTTACCAATTTCTTTTTTGTTTGTTTTTTGGGTTTTTTTGGCTGCACCACGCAGCTTGTGGGATATTAGTTCCCCAACCAGGGATTGAACCTGGGCCCTCGGCAATGAGAGCGCAGAGTCCTAACCACTGGACCACCAGGGAATTCCCTGTCAATTTCTGGGGCGAGAAAAAAAAAGCCAGCTGGGGTTTTGGTAGGGTTTGTGTTGAATCTATATGTCATTATGGGAGAGTGTTGCCACCTTAACGGTATTAGGTCTTTGAAACCATGAACATGGGATGTCTTTCCATTTTTTATTAGGTCCTTCACTTCTATGTTTTGTAGTTTTTAGTGTGTAAGTCTTATACTTCCTGTCTTAAATTTATCCTGTCTTTCATTCTTTTTGATGCTGTTGTAAATGAAATTGTTTTCTTAATTTTGTTTTCAGATTGTTTATTGCAAGTGTATAGAAATACAGTTGATATTTGTATATTGATCTTGTATCCTGCAACCCTGCTGAACTCATTTGTTAACTCTAATAATTGTTTGGAGAACCCTTCCCCTTAAGTCTTAATGTTTAAGTTGAAATTAATTTTCAGGTCAAAAAGCAACATTGAATGCAGAAGAAATGGCTGACTTTTACAAGGAATTTTTAAGTAAAAATTTTCAGAAGCACATGTATTACAACAGGTGGGTGTCTGCTTTTTTCCTGAAAGTTTGAATATCACAACCATATTGTCTATCTGAATTTAACATTTGTGTTTATATTAAAGGTAGAAGTTGCTATCAGCTTAGTGTTTGCACTTTTAAATAAAAATGACAGCTTCAAGTTACTTGCATGGCAGCCCTAAAGCAGCTTGCACCCCTAGTGCGTAGACAGTGGGTTCTACACAGCACTTCCCGCTGAAAGGAGCCTGGACTCCACGGAGAAGCACAGTCTGGGGCAGGAGCAGCACGAGAGGAGTCGAGACATCTTGTGTTTGAAAGAGAGGAAGCTCGGAGCCCAGCGGGGTCGTGTGAGAACAGCACAGAAGGCGATTCACGGGGCTCCTGTAGGCCAGAGGCGAAGCCATTGCAGCCACACAAAGAAAATGACGGCTGTGGATTAAAAATCTATCAAATACACTAACATCTTTGCGATCATAATGACACTGAGCGGCTCACAGGCATCGCGGGGTATTGCTAGGCAGCCAACCCATTGTTCTGAAAATCCATTAGGGAAGGAGCGCCTCCAAAGAACAGTCACCTCTCCTGCCTTTCCTGCACCGACTGGATTCCAGGGTAGCCAAACGAAGGAGCATTTTTCTTGGTAGAAGAATGACAGCTGACGCGGGAGTGCTGGAGTTAGATCTGGGCCTCATCACCCCGCAGCTGCTAACCGCTCGGCAGCAGGGCTGATGGGCACTTCGTAATGGACGGGTTGGGCTGATCGCACGTGAACCCCTGGTTCCTCTTCGCACCGTGCGGAGTGGGGCAGCGGCCTGCCTGCACCTCTGTGAGGTGTCCTCACCAAACAAGGGGACTGCAGTCTGGCAGTCCTCCGGGTCTAATACCAGGTTACAGGAACAAGATAAAAGGGTGTGTTGGGGGGGTGGAGAGAGCAGGTCACAGACTGTGCTTAAATCGTAGCCTGAAGATACAGTCCCAGATGTTGGAAATTCTGAAAGACAGACGATCCAGTTTCAACCAGTAACTAGGATTAAAAAAAAAAAAAAAGGACAGCTTAAAGTTATTTGCATGGCAGCCCTAAAGCAGCTTGCACCCCTAGTGCGTAGACAGTGGGTTCTACACAGGGGGAGCTAATATTATAGGATAAAAGAGGCTTCATGCAGTGTGTAGACAATGTTTGGATCCTAATACAGACAAACCACCTATAAAAAGGTATTTTTGACAATCAGTCAAAGAAAACTGAACAGTGACTGTATATTAGGTTGTATAGATAAGTTATTGTTCACTTTATCAGATACAATGATGGTATTGTGGTTAGGTGTTTTTAAAAAAGGTTTTGACGATACATAGTGATGTGTATTCCTAGGTGTGACGATAGGACGTGGCGTTTGAGATTTGCTGTGACATTCATAGGGCAATGGCCACGCCGGATGGGCGGGTGGGGCAGGGTCTAGACAGTGGGGTGATCGTCGAGTCTGGAGGAGCTCTTGAGTGACACTCAGGCATAAAGCCCAGTCCTGCAGCGTCCAGAGTCTGTTGCTAATGCTGTCATGTGTCACTCTGAACTAGCTGAGTTATTCAGTCAAGCCAGTATTAGTTAGATTTCCCTGGACCTTTGATTTCTGGCGTGGACACGGCATGTTTGCATCTTGCTTCCTCTCCGGTGAGCTTGATGTTTTCCGTGTGGCACTCAGAGTAGAGAGAGGGTCGGACAGCAGTGGAGCCTGCGCGCTCCCCCTCTGTGCCCGCACCACCTCCTGCCCCTGCTTTCCTTATGGAAGCGGGAACAGCTTAGTTTATCTTTTCCACTCTCCCAGTTCAGGTTGTCTGTATCGGTGGAGTGGAATCTGACTTTTCCCTAGTAACCTAAGAACTTTAATCTCGGTGGGATACCAGTTTTCTTTTTTCTGGAAGCCTTTTTTATTTATTTAGGGCATTGCTTCCCATTTATAGCATCATTGAAGTGGATAGAAATGTAAGATCGTCCTCGTGTGGAGAGGGGTTTTCTGTCCAGCTGTGCAAAGGCTCCAGGAAACGGGCATTTTTGCCTCTTGCTACTGCTTCACTCAAGCCCTTGGTTATTCTCCATTCTTCTATGCTGAGATCCAGTCAACCATTTGAGTCCAGTCTGGAATAGCAGTTCCATGTTCCCTCATTAGCTCATTTGGACGAAAAGCACTGATACTTGCTGGCATTTCAGCTTCCAGGGGCTCAGCACTGAGAGTCTGGAATGTGTGCTTTCCATTGTGGAAACTTGCCAAGTTTTGCCCATTCAGCTGCTGACAATGTGAATTTGCAAGTTCTGACATGTTCTGTAGAGTAATTCACAGGCAAGTGAGCCTATGACAGCATGTAACTCCATCCCAGTATTTGTATGAGAAGTTCTGGAATATCCCTTTCGAGACACAAGTTACCCAGAAGTTCAGATCATCAAGAAAAAGAAGATACGAAACTTGATGATGTTGGCACTTGCGATAAGTTAGCTTCTCAAGATGGAGTACTTTTGTCATGTGCTTCTTATGCAATTAAGGTGCCAAAGCCTGGAGGGTCCCCACTGAGTTCTTGCAGAGCCTCCAGTCCTTTTCTGAGAGGTTGCGCCCCCATCGCTCTACAGTTGTGTCTCCGAGAGAATGCCGCTGGGCTCTGGGGGCCCCCAGGCTTCCGAGAGCTCTTTCTGTGTCTTCTAGCAAAAACTGAGGAAGGCTGCAGCAGCTTCCAGGAGTGGGAAAAGCGGGGTCGGGGTGCCCTGGGCACATCAGCCTGATGAAAATCCAGGTGGAAGGCAGGCAGGCTTTTATGGGCAGTCTAGCTTTAAAGAGGGCGGGGAATGGCAGAGATGGTGGGGAAGGGTGGAAGAGGAGACAGTCGGATGCCTGAGCGTGGGTCACGTGTGCTTGTGCTGTTCTTCTTCAGGGACTGGTACAAGCGTAATTTTGCCATCACCTTCTTCATGGGAAAAGTGGCCCTGGAGAGGATTTGGAACAAGCTTAGACTGAAACGAAAGAAGACCAGCAATTAGGAGCCCACCCTGACCCACCCGCCCCGCGTCTAAGTTTCCACGAGCAGCAGCTGCCTATAGGAACTCGTTGTACGAGGGCTCTAAGAGCTGTGTGTGCAGGGCAGGCTGGGAGGATGCGGGTCCTGGTGCGCTGTGGCCCATGTGGCTCCGTCCTGACTGTGGATTCCAAGCTGGCTCTTGGTCATGGAAGTGATGTTAATAAATAAAACCCAAGCACTGTGTGCCTGTTTTCTGTTTTTGTGAATTATACCAGTTTGAAAGAGAACAATATAAAGATATTAATAAAATTTCACTTGAAAAAATTGACTCGACTGATAGGAATGTTTTGGAGTGTTGCCACGGCCTCGCCTGACCAGTGGGCCCTGGTTATTGGAGGGCCCCGGGTCCAGGCCCTGATGAAGCGCGGCTGTCCTGGGAGGCGTCCGGACACAGACCCGGAAGCAGGTGCGGCTTCTCCAACAGGCCCCAGGGGACTTCTCTCCATTTATTCCAGGGAGGCAGAGCCTGTTTCCAAGGTTTTCCGGAACAGCTTGCTGTGGCTCGTGTCCCTCTGCTTCAATTCTTATAAAATCAGCATTGTTTGAAATAGGATTACGTGGTTATAAAATGATGAGGCTCACTTTGTACTGTGTCCTGGAGCCGTGGCGGGGAAGGGGTGGGGGGACCTGCCTGAGCAGCGGGGAAGTGGCCTTCTGAGTCAGGGCACAAGGTGTCCTCTGAGGACAGATGAGACATCTGGATTTTACCAAAAGCCGCTTGGCAAGCAGTTTTTATTCCAAAACGGGATGTGACCGTAGAGTCGAAAGGCTGGATTTTTTCTGTGGCTTATAAACTGCTACCATCGAAGATGATTTCCAAGGAGAAATTCCAGAGACCAGAGGAAGCACGTCATCCCACCCCACCCCACCCCAGGCTCTTCAGGGCCACGCGGGTGGACGAGGGTGATGCTGAAGAGGAAAGCCGAGCGCTGGGCGCCACTGAGCACCGTGGTTCCTGGCGAACACTGTGCGGCCCATCAGCTCCGTGGGCTGTTAACCCAGGTGTCCATGGAGGTCCCCAGGGAGTGGAGTGCGTGCACCAAGCAGCGTGGGACACGAGGCTTCACAGAAATAACCCCATCTCACGCGTCACGCCACTGCCTCTGCTAAACACAACCTGCCACCAGCACATGTGACACTGTGCGTCTGCAAAGGAACGCCAGCAGAGTTAGGGGACCAGGTTGGGCCCTGGTTCCATATGAGTGAGCCCGGAGGCATGAACTGTTCTCTAGCTTTTAATTCTTTTTTTTTTAAATTAATTATTTTATTTTTGGCTGCATCGGGTCTTAGATGCGGCACATGTTGTGGCATGCGGGTTTTCTCTCTCTAGTTATGGCGCATGGGTTCCAGAGCACGTGGGCTCTGTAGTTTGCAACATGCGGGCTCTAGTTGAGGCTCGAGAGCTCAGTTGCCCTGCAGCATGTGGGATCTTAGTTCCCCGACCAGGGATCGAACCCACGTTCCCTGCATTGTAAGGAGGATTCTTTACCACTGGATCACTGGGGAAGTCCTTCTAGCTCTTTTTTAAAAAATGTATTTATTTATTTATTATTTCTGGCTGCATTGGGTCTTCATTGCTGCGCGTGGGCTTTCTCTAGTTGCGGTGAGCGGGGGTTACTCTTTGTTGCAGTGTGTGGGCTTCTCATTGCGGTGGCTTCTCTTGTTGTGGAGCATGGGCTCTAGGCACGCAGGCTTCAGTAGTTGTGGCATGTGGGCTCAGTAGTTTTGGCTCCTGGGCTCTAGAGCACAGGCTCAGTTGTTGTGGCGCACAGGCTTAGTTGCTCCGCGGCATGCGGGATCTTCCTGGACCAGGGATCGAGCCTGTGTCCCCTGCATTGGCAGGCGGATTCTTAACCACTGTGCCACCAGGGAAGCCCTCCCTTTTTTAAAAAAAATATATTTATTTTATTTATTTATTTTTGGCTGCTTTGGGTCTTCGTTGCTGCACGCAGGCTTTCTCTAGTTGCGGCGAGCGGGCTTTCTCTAGTTGTGGCGAGCGGGGCTACTCTCCGTTGCAGTGTGTGGGCTTCTCATCGCGATGGCTTCTCTTGTTGCGGAGCACGGGCTCTAGCTGCGCAGGCTTTAGTAATTGCGGCACACGGGCTCACTAGTTGTGGCTCGTGGGCTCTAGAGTGCAGGCTCAGTAGTTGCTCTGCAGCATGTGGGATCTTCCCAGACCAGGGCTTAAACCTGTGTCCCCTGCACTGGCAGGTGGATTCTTAACCGCCATGCCATCAGGGAAGTCCTCTTTCGCTGTTTAACCCTAATAGCATATTGGAAAGTCTGCCTCTGGGAGGTCCAGGGGAGCGTCTTTATGACAGACCTGCACAGAGGAGCCTTCCAGAGCAGACCGGTCTACCCAAGCCCATCTCCTGGCCTCGGCTTCCTTGGCCGCAATGACACCTGACAGAACCCCTGGGCGCATTCCACGTGCCTGTCGCGGGTAGTGTCCGGCACTTGACAGGCTCCTCACAAATGGGGAAATTAGTGACTAATAACATTCAAAGGGTCTGGTTCCCAAGCACCTCAAGGCCTCTGTGGGGGAGGGGTGACTGGAAGCCAGCCCGTCATGAGTGGGAGCTGAGCATCTGCGCCAGTGGGGGTTTAAGCAGGATGCCTGTAGGTGGAGTTGGCACACGGGGTCTTCGGGGACTGCCTCTCCCGAATGAGCCCGCACACCACTCCTGTGGCCGGCAACCTCACACGGGCTCTGGAGGAAACATCGCAGCATCGGCTGCCAAGAAGCTCTGTGCTGTGTTCTGATCCTCCGTCCCTCCCCCGAGGACGCAGGCTTGGCGGGCCCTTTTCCAGCCAGCCCTTCAGGCCACTTCCACGGCGCAGGGCTTCCACGCCGGAGGAGGGCGCACAGCCACGGAGGCGCCTGCACAACAGGCCTCTTCTGCACGTTTGCAAAGACTATTTTACACTTCTGATTAGTGGGGAGATCGTAGAACTCATGGGAACTTGTATGATAAAGTTTTGTGTGTGTTGATTTTTTTTCTCCTACTAGCATTGCTTTTTTTCTGCTTTTGAAAACAGAACAACAAATAGGCATATTATGTTGACAATTTTTAAGTTAAAAATTTAAGAATGCCTCTGGTTAGAAAGTTGGGATGGTGCAGGGAGGAGCAGACAGCAAAGGAACAGCCTTCCTTTACGGGGAATCAGTTTCCCAAAGGGGAGGCTGTGCGTTCTTGTTCAGCAAGACCGCCTGACTGGGGGGCCGGTGAGAGCTGGGGTTTTGGCGCCGGCCGTGCTTTCTCCTCCTCTGGGGTGCGGCCAAACCCACTGGGGAGGCCTCAGTCCTGTTAGATTCCCTCTCAGACTCCATTGCACCCATGTTATTTTTATTTCAAAGTAATTGCCTTTTAACAACTTCCAGGCCTTCTGAATACATGCTCTGGCGCCTCTCTTTCTTCCCAAGGTTTTTGCATCGTGGCGTCGCATCTGCCACAGCTGGGAAAGCCCAGCGCTTCCCATGGGCCCCGGGCGTACGCCGCCTGCTCTTGGCCAGCTGCACGCTGCCCACCCATGAAGGCTGTGGGTGAGTGGGAGCGTTCGTTCATCCCACAGATACTGAGTGCCTGTCCGTGCCAGGCACAGGGGCTGTGATGGTGAGGACTTGTTGTTGCTTCCGCTGCAGCGCTTACAGACTAGCAGGATGTAAGGTAGGAGAAAAAATTAGTCACGTGATGAAGAACCCATGAAGAATATTTAATGGAATCACCTGATCTGATTTGCATGTTTATATTCCAGGTTAACCATAGATTTTAATTACATTCCTTTAATTGCAGAAGCATCTCTACTTAAAATGTACTGCAATTATATCTAAGTGCTAGTTAATTAACATATTTTCTTGCTGGTATCACAAAGAAATAGCATCGTAAAGTTGATAGCCAAATTTTATCTTTTTATTTTTTAACTTTTTGTTTTATGTTGGAGTACCGTTGATAAACAACGCTGTGTTAGTTTCAAGTGTACAGCAAAGTGGATAGCCAAATGTTAAAACACGGGACTTCAAGTGGGGATGTACAGACAACTGCGCGAGCCCTTCTAGGGCACTGTCCCCTCCACACCTTGCATCTGCTCGCCGAGGAAGGCACCTCCCACTCCCGGTCCGTGTCCTGACCTCAGGGGCCTCAGGCGCAGCCTACAATGCCCTCACCCCCCGATTGGCTGGCAGACTTGCTTGTGTTACAAGACTTGGCTCCCCAGAAAAACTTCCCAGGGGGCCTGCGCCTCAGCTTTGCTCAGGAGACTTGCCCACCTGAACGGAGCTTTGCCGTGTCCATGGCTGGCGAGTGGCCCAGGGCACTGTGCCCCGTGCCTGCAGGAAAGGAGGGAGGCTGGAGGAGCAGCAAAGGGTTTACAGGCCAGGCCCAGAGAGGGCCTGTCACTCATTTACCTTCCGTGGAAGCAACCCTTGTACCTGAGCAGAGGCGAGTTGGGTCAGGCTGGGGTGCTGGTGACTCTGGACGTGCCCGCTACCCCTTGCTGGGAGGCGCACCTCTATGGCATCCCTCTTAGGAAGCCTGATCCCTGTGCGGGGTGCCCTCCTCTCGGAGTGGACGAGCCTCACCTCGGAGATACCACAAGGCCCAGAGGCCAAACGGAATGAAGAGTAATTTTGTGTGAGTATGTGTGGTAAAATACACATAACATTAAGTTAACCATTTTTTAAGTGAACAGTTCAGTGGCATAAGGTACATTCACATCACCACCATCCGTCTCCAGGACTTCTTCATCTGAAACTCTGTCTGCAGGAAACACTAACTCTCCACCCCCACCCCCAGCCCCTGGCCCCCAACAGCCTGTGAGCCTGACTGCCCTGGGGGGCCTCATCCGTATTTGACCTTTTGCAATTGGCTTATTTCCCTTAGCGTGACATCCTTAAGGCTCATCCATGTTGTAGCAAGTGAAGATGGTTTTGTTTGCCGTCTCAGCTCTGGCATCTAAGCCCTCTGAGCCTCAAATG